TAAACAGGTGTCATTTGCTTTCAAACGGGTGCTATTTGTTGCTTCAATGTAGCAAAAATTTAATTTACAATTTGTTATTTATGATATCTTGTTCCAAATAAGAGGATACACAATTCAATGAAACAACGATCCAATTCACTTGAATTGGATCGTTGTTGCATTGAAATGTTGGACTATTGCAAATAGGTATCGGACTGTTCCCATCTGGAGGGAGAACAATCGCAACTCCTTGGAATTAATGCGATCCCGTTGTAGTCTGACAGACTTGAGCTTCCTGATGAAGTTGGAACGTTTATCTTGGAAGGCGGCGAGTCTATTCGAGCCTGTCTCTTAAAAGGACATCTGAGACGAAATTTCTTGAGACGTGGTTACACTTCTTAATTAAGATGTGTCAGAACGATACCAAACTTCGTGTTATCTGGCAAATTATTTCAGTCGCTTGTTCAACGAAGCGATATCGCTTAAATGGGATCTTCATCGCGCGGCGTTAAGGGAAAAGGATTTCAGAGAAATCTAGCTTAATTCGAGTATACTTAATGAACATTGTACGTAAATGATGAAGATTTAATGTTAAAAATTCAACGCGAATATTTTTCCAAAAGACAGATATGCTCAAATGTGACAGCAGTGCACATTTGTATGAATAAATATCATTCTTCATTAATCTGTTATTCATTACGTGGAATTCTACAAATTATATTCACAATTATGACTTTAATTTAAAATTAATACATGGTCCTAGTAGATATAATATTTTACATGAAGTATCTACGTTAATTTTGGCCTTTGTATTAATTTTGCGAATCCCTCGTGATATTAATCGAAAATTAATGCCGAGTGTAACATATGCTCGGACAAGAAAAGCTGCTGTAGCACTATAATCCAACTATGTGCTGTATAATTTATACATATATAACGTAGTTAACTCGCTGACATATTACTATTGTGTGTATGATATATTATTTATTGTATTACGCAATTTTGATGAGGTTTTGTGAATGACAGTCGTCTACAATGGTATAAAGCCGGTCGTTAAGTTTGAGTGCCCTTGGTAACCCTACGTCAATTTTGTCACATCCGCTGGCCATATCTGGGTCGAAGATAACCCGACAGCAAATCTATATGCGTTATGCAGTGTGGCGTAACTAATGCAGTTTAGAATAGGCGTATCCATCAAAGCGCGAGCCGCTCTACCCAAACTAATCTAATAAGATGAGAAACTCTGTCGGATATCTCAAGCATCATATTATGGCGCCGTAAATGTAACATCCCGGAAATTCTCGTCCTTAATATCGTGTAGACCTCATTTATAAAATCGAATAGCCTTATTAATGATAAATAATACTTTCTGATGAAGAATCAGAGTTTTCTAATTAGAGAGCGAGAATATAAAAAAACTGAATCTCAATTTTGCTTACTAATACCAGAAGAGGACATCCGTATCTTATTTATGCGACGCGAGTATCTTCATCGCATCCCTTAAACGTGACCATCTTTGGCCGTCTACATGTTGGATTTCTTTGCGACAGCCATTAATTAGATAATTCTATGTCGCGAATTTCAAACGACGAGACCAAAGAGCGACCGACGGAAAAGGTAGAGATGCACACTCGGTGCATCTCGACGATGCGAGTATTGCACATGGAATCGAGATCATCATGCATGTTCTCTCGTTTAACTTATTCTCGTTCATCCTCGCTACCACTCGGATGAGCATGAATCTGATTACATACAGTAACTAACTACATTCATAACTTGCGATTGCGGAAGTGAAGTTTTTTTTCTCTCACTAATTGATATATTATTATATTGCGATAATCCATGTCAGAATTATTCAGCCCAAAGCTATTTTCGAGTGTTTCACATAATTGCTTCAAATATTTCGTGTAAATTGCGAGTACAATAATGTTGATAAATACGCTTGCGACAAATGTGGTTAACAACGCGGATTAATGGCTTGGCAGAACAAGCGATGGGCTGCATTCTGTCGTGTAATAGCCACCGCGAATTTGCAATGTTAATTTTTGGTAATCTCCGGTTATTATTACATAATGAATCGTGATAATATTAAAATAATAGCAGGCCTGTCTAATTTAGCTTCGGAGTCAAAACGCAAAGCCATTGACGTAAAAAAATCAATAAAAAAATCTGGTAAGATTATATGAGATTATAAAATGTTGATAGACATTTGAGCGACGCTTATCAACACTTTACAAGTCCATGAAATCTTATTCAATTGAATTTTTTGCGTCGATGACTTTGTGTTTTGACTTCGGAGCTCAAATTGGAGAAGCCTGATAATAGTAATAAAAGCGGGTAGTAATAGTGCAATTTTTAGTATGTCATACGACAAACTTATGTAATTACTAATTTTGCGAGGAAAAGTCGATGACCTAAGTTGCATGAAATGAAAATAGTCGAGATCCGACGACGGGAATCAATGACCTTTAAATCTATCAGGGCGATAAAACGCTTCAGCAGTCACGAAACATCACCGTCAGATATATGAGAGAATTTGCAAAGCAAATTTTCCGGATTTTACCTACGGTCGCGAATTTTTATTCCGTTACCCTTCGAAGTTTCGCTTCGCTTTAATCTCGCTGCCATGATATGAGCTTTCAGTTTACCGACTTTTTGTGTGATTGCAAGCGCGAGAAAATGAAGAGTCAACGCTTCGTGCACAAAGCTCACGTGCATATTCATTATTAGCCCAGGTGCCGACAAATTAGCGTTTCCGACATTTATCAACTATCCAACGAGTGGAAGTAAAAAGGATTCTTTATCTACATAATTTGTCAGCGAAAAAATTATAGTGTCATACCTCTTAAGTTACAAGTATCTACAATTAATTAAATGGCTTACTGGTCTTGTTCTATTAAAACTAAAGTCAAGACAAAAGTACAACTACAAGAAAAAAATGAAGCTTTCGAAAGAATTTTAAAAATACATGGCAAATTAGATAGCTTCGTGGAAGTCGTATAAAAGATGCAATATTTAATTACAGTAAAACTTTTAAACGTTGCGTTCACGACAACACGCCATTTTCTTCAGACTATTTTGCCATTTCGTGCTCTCGTTTGCAGCAAGCACAAAGAAATAAAAACAGCAAAAATGTTATCGCTCTATAATTTCAAGAGTGACATGACTCAAAAAAATTTTTCAGAGAGAGGGAAAAACTATTTTTCAACTTAACAGAAAATAATTAATTATAAGTAATCAAGTAATTGACAAAAAATATTTTTAACATTATCAACATTATCACTTTATCTTTTTCGTTTCTTTAACTCTTGAAAAATCATCCTTTTTTGAGTTGTGAATAGTATTATTAACGCTTTTAATTAGTTGCTTGCGACAAGTGTTGCAAATGCGTTTTGCATATTGTTGCTTATTTAGATCTACAGCCCTTTAGACGTTTTTCTTTCGGAAACCAGTCTTGCGTTCTGTAACAGCAATAATCCTCAAAACGCGAAAGAAAGTTTAAAGATCCAGTCTAGATAAATCGCAACATAGATAAAATGCATTCACAACGCTTGTCGTGACAATCAATTGAATTGTGTGGTCAATGATATTACTGACACTTCTAATTGGTTGTCGCGACAAGTTTTATGAATACGATTGTCACTTTTCGACTAACGTTTAACTGGAAATCGTTGACTGTCCTGCTAGAGAATTTTAATAGATCTATTCGCTTTGCTTAAAATCTTTAAAAATTTTTGCACAAAATGAGATAAATACATAGAGATAAGGTACGTAGAGCGGGGCTTTTTCACAGAATAATTCAGACCAGAGATAGTGTTTATGTTTCTAAACAGCACAGATTCAACATTCGAAGGTCATGTTTACGCTTTCAAGAAGCAATCGTTCATGCAATGTAGTTGTAAGCACGTCACTGGAAAGGAAAAGTAGTTTACTGCCACAGTTGAAGCTTCTGTGACTGAAGTTGAAATTGTCTCGCTCTACTCTCTTTGGACGTTGAAGGGAAAGACAAAGAAGACACTGAGTGCAAAAATTGCAACATGGACAGACCTAATTGTTGTGTTCATTAAAATAAAATCATCAAATCTAATCCTTTTACTGGGAATATCTTTCCAAACATCAAAAAGAAATCATCGCATATATTTAGGTCATCAAAATTTTTAACTAGAGATTGTCAAAAAATCATAGAAGTAACGATTGCGAATTGTCAAAATTACGCTTATCCTAAAAAAAGAAGCAACTTAGCAAGGAATTCTTTTTTCATCATGTAAAGCCCACTTCCACCATTTCGATTAAAGGCTCGCTATTCAACACGTCAAATATATTTCCAGATAACAGCAGGCGGAAAAGTGTCGCGGAACTTTTTTGTTGCCGAGACACGGAAAGTGCGAAATAGTGATGGCGATAATTTATTAACGTCTCGGCAGAGAGTAACGTTGCTTCTTAGCGTAAATAGCTTCCAAACACGAAGAAGAAACATATGCAGGATGCTCATGCGCAAGTCTAAATAGCGGATTAGAGGGAAGGACGTTTCATTTGTCAAACTGCTCGTGCTGTGAGATCCTGTTACCATAATTTGCTGTAAGCGCGACTAGGAAACCAATGATCCATGATGCACATATTCGTATTTCATGATTTGCGAGATATCACGTCGCAAGAGATTATTAGAGAGACATGAGTTATTTAGATTTTACATAAAGAAAGTGAAGTCAACAATTCATACGTTAGTATCGTAAGACCATTATGACATCATGTGTCATCTCGCAGAAAAGAGCCAAGGAGAACCGCATTACTATGGAACTGCATTTATTAATTCCTGAAGGCTATGCGCACATTAACAAAGAAGAAAGTCTTGAGTGCCTGAGGAGCCTCGAAATTTCTCAATATCCCGTTACATTATTGCGTCACGGAAAAATGCGCGGAGCTTTATACGGAAATGACGCGAGGGATAGGAACGCGAAGACGATGCGGAATGTCGAATGACTAAGATAGTAATCGGAGACTATTGAATTTCTCTGTTACAGAAGGTGGACCCCGAGCTGATATTTACCAAACAGGAACGAATTGGGAAGGGTAGCTTCGGTGAAGTTTTCAAGGGTATCGACAACAGGACCCAGCAGGTTGTGGCCATCAAGATTATCGATCTCGAAGAGGCGGAAGATGAAATCGAGGATATACAGCAGGAAATTATGGTTCTGTCACAGTGTGACAGCCCATACGTCACCAAGTATTATGGATCTTATCTCAAGGTTGGTAAAAAAAAATATATTCTTTTTTGATATGTTTCAAAAAAACTTGGTTGTTATTAGAGCCGTCAAATTATATTTGCTGATAGAATAAAATACCAGCCAAGACACTCCTCTTTTTATCACTGTTCTGTCCCAATGAATCGCAGCCGCATAATCACATAGGCAAAAATAAAAGGCTGCTCGATCGAGGACACTTGGCTGTTACGCCCTATCATTTTTCATACAGCAAAGAATAGGAAGGGCTTGACGGTCAGTTAACTATTGCTTCCGGCTCGGCTGTGTCGCGTCGTCCGTTGCTTCCGCTTCCTGCGAGAGGTTCAACGAGCACAATCAGGAAGATCACAAATCCCCACGATTCGTTCGTAATAATAAAAGTGATTTTTATTCCGCGATTTTAATGTCTCATTATAAATTATTAATTTATTAAATTTTGAATAAAATAATTAAAATTAATAGAATTATTAAATATTTCTGTAGAAAGTGTTTTTTTTTTTTTTTTTTTTTTTTTTTTTTTTTTTTTTTTTTTT